CTAATGTTACCACGCGACAAACGTCTGTCTCACTTTGTTAGCACACCTTATTTAGTGAATACTATTCAAGCCATTAGCTCATATACTTTCAGGAGCAAAGATAACATAAACAAGTCTATGATTGAGTATATCCTGATTCCTTCCCATCTAGAGTAACGTTAGCTCAAGTGAAGTGCTATTCACTAGTTATGATGTATCCGATCATTTCCCATGTGTAGCTACCATACAAGTAGATGTAAATGATAACGTTAAGCAAAAGGTTAAAGAAACATGTTTTGTTAAATGGGACAAAGCTTCAAATTTTGAGATCTCTTTGTACAAGGTCTGTCTTGATACATTGCTAAACAATAGAGAGACTTGTTTATCAATAGATACACGTGATGATATTGAATCATTTAATACGGGGATCAGTAAATGTATGATTGATGCCAGTAGACAGTCTATACCAGTAGGTAGTATCAAGGCTCATCTGAAGCCTTACTGGAAACAGGATGGGCTACACGAAGACCGTTATAACATGCGAGTTGCAAGGCGGAGATGGTTATCCGAGGATAAACCAAGGGGGGATAATTTCCATTCTTATACATCATACAAGCAAGCTAAGCGAGAATTCCGACGTCGTCACAGACAGTCAAAACTGGCCTATTCAAAGAAATTTTGTTTGGAATTAGAAAAAAACTTGTGATACTGATGTGAATACGTTTTATAAATCTGTGAGAAAACTACGTAAGCAGAAGATCGGAGTTGAAAAACTTACATATGATGACCGTAATGTAACAACCCCCACTGACATATTTCGGCTTTGGGGTAGGTACTATGCGGATCTAGCAAAACCATATGACTCCGACCAGTTCGATCAAGACTTTAAAGATGGTATTGACTATGCAATTGAGAAATTAAATTAGCCTCCAGAAATGAATCTAACTCATGTGTTGATAATGTACTATGTGCAGAAATATCGGTTCAGGAAGATAGATAGATAGATCATCTTTATTTCCTCCAATTTGATGAAGATACATTGATATGAGATATGACGGTGTTCTACAAATGTATATATATATATATATATATGTATATAACACCTGATATATTGTATGTACAGGCAGTTTCACATCGTTATAGACACGGGGTAATTATACCTATTTATAAGGGTAAAAAAGATAAATCAAACCCTGTAAATTATAGAGGTCTTACGCTAACATCTTGCATTAGTAAGCTTTTTGAGAAGATTCTCCTAGAAAGATTAGAAACGTGGACATCCCGAAATGCCTGTAATTTTCCCGATATGTTGCAGTTTGGCTTTAGGAAGGAGCACAGTGCTGTTCTGTCGCAATTTACCCTCATCCAATGTGTACAAAGCTATGTAAACAGGGGATCATGTATCTACACAGCATTTCTAGATAAGATTTTGATCGAATATGGCACTCGGGTCTCTTTGTAAAACTCTATCATCTTGGTATAAGGGGTAGAATGTGGTCTCTGTTACATCACTGTTATACTTCCATATATGCGTGTGTTCAGTATAAGGGGGAAAAAGCTGATGCATTTGCTGTTAGACAAGATATAGGTCAGGGCTTAGTTATCTCAGCTTGGCTTTTTCTTGTGTACATATATGACCTCATAACTGAGCTTCGGCAGTTAGATACAGGATTATGTATATATAATGTTAGTTTACCATGCGTGTTACTTGCTGATGATACTACTCTTATCAGTTACAGCCCTAAATGTCTGCAAACAGCCTTAGATACAGTTGTCAATTACGCTATCAAATGGCGATTAACCTATAACGCATTGAAAAGTAAAATTGTTGTGTTTCATAAAAAGAAGCAATTATTGTGTACGCATGCTTATCACTTTGGGACTTTGACATACCTATGTTTGATAATGTAAAATATGCGGGTGTTGTTCTACAAAGTAATCCTTCTTTCAAATTATGTATTGAAGAGAGCTGCACCGCGTACTATTAATTATCTCCTCTCTGTTGGTCTAAATAGTAGTGACTTACATCAGTATGCAAGTATTGAGATCTGGAAAAGAATGATTTTAACAACAAGTTTTTATGGATGTGAATTACTGCCTCCTCTGCATGGTAAAGATCTTGAATTAGCTGAAAGCACCCAGCGTTACTTTGCAAGGATTGTACAAGGTTTTGACAAACGTTGCCCCACTGATGCCACTATTGCTAATCTAGGACTTGGTTGGCTATATAGATAAATGTAGACTACAGCTGCTGGGGCGTCTCTGCAACAACTCATGTGTCTCAATTTGTAAAACTGCTTTCTGTGCATCAACTTCACTCTATTTCTTTCATAACAATAATTTACACAGTTTATGTGGAGTGTTGCTTCCAACAGCCAAGAAATATAACCTACTTCATCATGTAATTTCACTACGTTCGAACAGGGGAATTCCCCGCGAAGACTAAGTGGAGAAAGATTGTGTTAAATGAAATATCTACCCACGAGGAAGAAGTATGGAAATATAAACTATGATGTAGAGCTGACCTCGATATCCTAAAATTCACACAACACTTACTCCTCATGTGTTATACAGCATTGTAATGTTATATCCAGAATTGAGAGAAGAAATACAGTATGTAATAAGGATTGGTTCCAGAAGCAAAATATCAAAATAATGTACAAAATGTAATACTTTTGCTCATGATTTTTATCACCATATCATCTTAAACTGTGAATGTTGATCTACTTTCAGATAGAGTTTTATTCTTTTTAACTCTAATTGATAATCTCGATGTTGAAATGTATGTTAAAATAGAGATGATGGAGGATAGCATTCTTTCTTGGTGCAGACAACAATGACACTGATGAAGTAACGTGGCATTTCACAATTATTGAAATTTAAAAGTATTTATATCAAATTAAACATATCCTAAACAACGTGTGGTAACCTTACCAATATTTCTCATTGTTTCTAGCCTGTAAATATGCGGGACATTGATATGTATGTATGTGTGTGTATATGTTTGATTATTGTGCTATTTGATTATTTAATTACATAATCTTGATGTTTTGAGAATCTTCGGATTTATCTGGAGGAAATAAAGACATTCATTCATTCATTCATTCATTCATTCATTCATTCATTCATTCATTCATGCCCTTTGATACTAAAGCGAGTCTCCAAGTCAGAGTGAGAGAGTTGGGTTTAACGCCGCGTTTAACAGTATTCCAGTTATATCACGGCGTGTCAACTTGATGCGGGGGAACGCCCGAAGTGATGCAGGTCTTAGACGTTTACCACTTCGATGAATCCCACGAGCACGAGTATGGTGCTGACAAACTAGAAGCATAATCTGGGCGAACCGGGATTCGAACCCACAATCTGGCGTGCCCAAGAGATGCAACTCTGCACAGCGACTGGGCCACCTGTGCCCCCTTCCAAGTCAGAATGAGCATTTACACTCTCAGTGTTCTGATTGCTAAAAGATCACACAGGATGGCGTTGACACGTTGACCCACTTCTGGGAGGTTTAGCCTTAGAAAATATAATAACAAATATTTCACTTTCACACTGCCCAGACATCATGGATGTAGTGAAAGAACATGAAAATATGACAGCAAATCGAGTTTGTCCGTTCTACCAAGACTTCAGGGAGGGTCATGCGACTTTTGTTCAGAGGTTGTTTGATCAAGGTTAAACATACAAGGCCTCTGTGAAGCTATCAAGAAGATCTGTGGTAGACATGTGGGTGCTGTTTCCGGACTGTTTTGGCTTGTGTCGTGTGTTCCCGTGCTTTTTCGGGTGAGCAGTTTGCTTGCCTTCGCATGTGTTTGTGACGGATGCCACCGGTGGGGCAGGATGCGCTCACCTTTTCGCGAACACCTGTCATCATTACTATTTGATATTGATTCATACACACATGCTCATGACATTGTCGGAATCGTATTTCTATTGGACATGGAAAGGGTTTTGTCGATTTATTCCCGTGTGGGGCTTAAACATTACAAGGGAGGAAAAGGAAAAGATATCCTTTATTTGCCTTTGCATGTGTTTATGAGGGTGTTATCTGTGAGGCAAGAATGCTCACACTTTCGCGAACACCTATTAACATTATAATCACGATAATGCATAAATATTATTACAAAAGGCTCCTTTGACAAGATGACATTATCTGGTTTCCTTGACATACATCATATGCTTCTTGAGTTATCGTTTAAACGAGCCTTACTTCATGTCTGAGACATCGACGATGAGCTTTATAAGAATGTTGAACTTCCCTGATCTAAAAAGGAAATGTACATGATTTCTGAACATCCGGGAAAGAAAAGGGCTTCAGCAACCCATGCTTGCCACAAAAGGCAACTATGCTTGTCGTCAGAGGCGAGTAACGGGATCGGGTGGTCAGGCTCGCTGACTTGGTTGATGCATGTCATCGTATCCCAGTTGCGTGGATCGATGCTCAAGATATCAATTTCTGGATTGTCTAGCCCAGACTCGATCATCCTATAGCTAGAATATTACTGAGTGCAGCGTTAAACAACAAACAAAACTGTAGAATGAGCGTAAAATTGAACCACCAACCACCACGGAAAGATGTCCACTTTTATGATCATTAGCGATTTTATCGTCATCTTGCTGACCTTTCTTGCAATGAAATAATATTTGCCATTAGGATTTTTTATACATTAAACTTTGGAGGAACAGATGGTGAATTACATTCATCTCCGCTTCATCAACCACAAGCGCAAGTATGATACTGTACACAAGGCGTCGCACAGCACACCTCAGAAAATTGTTCCTGACTTAGCGAGTGAGGCAGGTTTGCGAGATCATCATACAAACCACACACTTCGATCCACTGCAGCAACTGTCCTCCACCAGACGAGTGTGGACGAGAAAATTATTATTGGTCAAACCGGGCATCGTTTAATTTGATAATGATTAAACATCGCATATATATCTCAAAATGACTATCAACAATAAGACGGCCTTACTTCACATTTTGGATTGCAGAAATACAAACTACAAAACAAAAACTGTGTATTCCATATCACTGTTTATTGAGCAGCATTTGTAACAAATATACAACAATGTCATTCAAACATTATAGTCATTCTGTGAATTGCTACTGCTGGGGTCAAGAGTTGCCAATATGTAAATAATTCCACTGGGTGTTGGGGGTGGGGGGAGTCGCATTCATATGAGTCAAATTTCTGGCTAGGGACCGGACCGTCAGTCGCATTCATTTCAAGAGTTACAGGTATTTCAAGTATGTCCCAGGTAGTCCCCTTCCCCGAAATTCATATATGTTTCATAACAGTGTCTGAACTTTGGTCTCCCATTGATTTGGTTTCCCAGTTGCCCCGGTGAATTTTCTAAATGGGACAGCGCGATAACACACATTTGTTCTCGGGGTAGAGATAATGTTAACAGAGAGCATTATCAGATAGCTTTGCATGTTTTATGCATGCACCAGGTTGTTGATGTGATCGCCTATCAGTTATAGCTCCTCTACAAGAGACGAATTGTTGATATTAATACCATGACTGTAATTTACTGTGGTAATGACTTTGCAATACACGTATGCTGTTTACTACTGTTTTCTTATGTTTAAATTGCCCAGAAGCATATTAAAGTGAACAAAAAAACTTCAATTTATTCCCGCTTCTAAAGTTAGGGTACATCTTAATCGTCTAGGTGAAAATTGCAAGCTGATTGTTGAAAATAAGCATGTCAACAAGGATATCTAAATATTACACTCAACTAGGCCAACATGAATATCCTTTGAAACAAACATATGTGTTTGGACATACACAAACTATATCAGTAATTGTTTATTCCACCACATTTGCCATAAACAACAAGACTTTAAGACAAACACAAGATATCTAACTTTATAATTCCAATGATGTACTTCTAAAACTAAAACAAAACCCAGTATATATTTACCTCTCGATATACTATCAATAACGTATCGTTGTATCCAACCATAAGCACATACTCATATACATGCGTTTTGCAGCCTAAATTATGAAGAAACCTCACAATAAAAAGAAAGTTTGACATCTATGTCCTTTACATCCGGCGTTGGAATGTTACTACATATTAAACTGGAACCGAAAGTTCCAGTAAGTAAATTATCACAACAAATTCAAGATTTTCAGAACAACATAATATAGTCATACTTTGTTTACTTTTCTCATACTTTAATCTCTTAAAAGGGTACATGTATATGAGCGGTAAGCTGAAAGTCCAAATGCATGATCGAGGTTCTGTAATATGCTTTAAAGCTGCCCAGACAATCTTGAACATTGTTGGTTGTTGTATATGCATTTGTTCTAATATGTTTACATTATCTAAGTTATGAGGAGCGGGATATACCTTTGCTTTTTCGTCATAAGAAGATGATCTGGTTTAATCTTCTTTCAAAGACGCTTTCCTCATAGCAGTATTGAGTGGGTCAAACTTCAGACGCAGTTGGTCAGTTAGTATGTCATATTGCTACATGAATATGTGAAAATTCCATATTCAATCGACAATACCATAACCATACAACAAGCAGAACAAACTACACATCTGTAAAATCTGTTAATATTGACATTAAATCATTACGGTAATTATCACAATGTGAAGCAAACCAAATGGATAAGAGTAAAAGAACATATTCACGGTTTTCTATCCATATTGAAAACCTAGCAAGTAATTATTTAGAACTTATTTTACAGATCAGTGCAAAAATATGTGAAAATTCCATATTCAATCGACAATACCATAGCCATACAACAAGCAGAACAAACTACACATCTGTAAAATCTGTTAATATGGACATTAAATCATTACGGTAATTATCACAATGTGAAGCAAACCAAATGGATAAGAGTAAAAGAACATATTCACGGTTTTCTATCCATATTGAAAACCTAGCAAGTAATTATTTAGAACTTATTTTACAGATCAGTGCAAAAATATGTGAAAATTCCATATTCAATCGACAATACTATAGCCATACAACAAGCAGAACAAACTACACATCTGTAAAATCTGTTAATATGGACATTAAATCATTACGGTAATTATCACAATGTGAAGCAAACCAAATGGATAAGAGTAAAAGAACATATTCACAGTTTTCTATCCATATAAAAAACCTACAAAGTAATTATTTGGAACTTATTGTTCACAACTTCTTTTACAGATCAGTGCAAAACAACATGCAATAAATCAATCATATTTCAGATTTGATACTGTGTTATAAGAAACCCATCCAAAAAACCTCATCTGTTTCAAGCAAATATTCATAAGCTAATCAACATCGTCCTTGTGGTCAACCCAAGACAATATGAAAATTGTTAGTTAACGAGTAACTAGATGCCTTCCTGGATATTTCATTGTTGTTAAAATCTGTGTGTAATTTCGCAACTGTATGCTGTATACTGATCATGATGATGTTAATTGTCAAACAGTCTGAATGAAGCATGGTTCATGTTAACATAATCCCATAAACTATATTCAAATATGTAGAGCATAATCATATATGTACCTATGACATACACATTAACAGCTGGAATCACCGTATTGCAGTGGAGAATATATCCCCGGAGCTTGCTGTTCGAACTGGCCAAATGGATCGGGTGTTCAGGCTAGGTGACATGGTTGATTGCGTGTCGTTGAATCTGGGGCAATCGATCATATCTATCATTGGTTTGTGAGAAATAAAGGTTATAACTATGTTTTTATTATCAATACTTTTTATGATGCATGTCAAGTTACTAACACCTCTAAAACCAAAACATTCCAAACGGAAGTGCAAACCAGTTGCAGTGTATTGATAATCAGCTAAGTATAATACATTTGGTTAGAGTGTAATGGTTATGTATGTAGACACGAATTCAAATAACAGATGGTCAAATTCTTCACACTGTTTCCCTGTTCTTCTTCACTCCCGAAAAGTGATGAGGTACTTGGGATAGGCCTGGACGTCGTTGAACACCACGAACATACTGGGATTATCCACGTTGTCAACCAAACTGTCGTACAGGACATTTGGGTCTTTGAGGCCTCGAGACGGGGGAGCTACCATGTCTACTTTTCCTTTAGTGAAGTGTCCAGTGAGGACAGATGCGTAATAGACGTGCTTGGTACCATCTTCATTTGGAGGAGAGTACAGGTCACGAGCAGAGTAGCTGGTGTTGACAGCAAAATAACTTCCCTTTCCATAGAGATGGACTGTAATAAAATGTATATGACAGTTTATAAACTACTATATAGTATAAACTTGTATTAAAGCGGAATTGAAGTGGTGGTGTCTTTTCATGAGTTTTAAGGGAATTTTGTTGTTACCAAATATAGCTGAATGTTTAGAAAATACAGTCGACAAAATCTTTCCACAATCATAAGAAATCTCTGCTAAAGGCAGATACCATTGTACGAATCCGAATATATTGTAAATATAAACTGAGTCAAATTAAAAACTTCACATTTTAAAATCCCATATATGATATACAACGGACAAATGTATCAGAGAAGGTAATTTTTAATCATTAATGTCCAAAGAAGGATTTTAATTAACAGTGGTAACCATAATTTGTTCCAAGCACCTATGGTATTCGGTAATAACATCAACAGTTTAAATCATTCGTCCCAAGCGCGAGAATCTGATGGCACACAAGTTCAGTAGCGTGTATGGCCACCATGTGCGTTGACAACTGCCACACAACGCCTACGCATGGACCTTGTGATGCTTGTGAACACATGATTGGGAAGACGACGCCATTGTTGCTGCAGAATGGTGCAAAGATCTTGCAAATTCTGTGGTTGGTTCTGGAGAGTGCGCAGACTTCTGCCAAGAGCATCCCAGACGTGTTCGATGGGATTGAGGTCGGGAGACCTTGACGGCCAGTCCATGACGTTGACTCCCGCATTCTGAAGGAAATTCCTTGTCAAGATTGCTGTGTGGGGTCTGGCATTGTCGTGTTGGAAGATCAAACCGGGTCGATGTGCTGCCATAAAAGGCAGAAGTTCTGGTGCCAGTACCTGGTCGCGGTAAGCAGCAATGTTGAGGTTGCCACGGATGTCAAGAAGCCTGGAACGTTCATTGCCACAGAAAGCACCCCACACCATGACACTTCCGCCTCGAAATCTGTCAACTTTCTGTACACAACACTGGGCGTAACGTTCATGACGGCGCCTCCACACCCTCGCCCTACAATCAGAAAATCGAAGATTAAATCGGGATTCATCACTGAAGACGACTTGATTCCAATTCCTCTGAGTCCATCGTAAGTGTCGCTGTGCCCACAATTGACGTTGACGTCTGTGTAATTGGCCGTCGTGCTTGAAGGTGAGCAGTTCTCAGACGGATTCGAACAGTTTGCGCACTCAGTCTACCCCTAAACAGTTCATTTCGGGTTGATGTAGCCGTCAAAAATCGGTTACGGAGGTGACGTAAGACAATCTGACGATCCTCTGCATCTGACGTCACACGTGGTCGACCTGGCCGAGGGCGATCAGCGGTGGTATCCGTTTGCTGTAGACGCGTCTGTAAATCATAAACAGTCCGTCGACTACAACCCATCGTCCTTGCGACTTCAGCTACGGACGTTCCCGTCTGCAACATGCCGATGGCACGTTCACGTTGCACATTTTAAAGGCGTGGCATGACAAATGGCCGTAAAGACTTTTGTTTTCTTGTGTTTTTCTTTTTTTGTTAACGACTGCTAACAAGTATGGCTGAAAACACGTGCGGTATTATGGCCACGTGACCAGTTGCACGTTAAAAACCACTTTTGCCACTATAGTGCTGTGCACATGATTTTGATCGATTCACCTGCACATAAACGGTTGTTATCTGAAGACAATACGTGGCCATTACTGTTTAAATACACAATAAGGGCCCACAATGATAACTGGTCAAAATGTTAAAATTTTAGGATTGTGAAGTTTTTAATTTGGTTCAGTATATAATATTAATCACTACCAAATAGTGATGATACTAGGTGTTCGCAAAAATGTGAGCAAAGGTGGCACAAGTCAAAATAAGGAATTGCATGCACAAGACATCAGTTTTACCATTGATGCGTCACATTTAGAAATATCCTCCGCTCATGTTCCATTAGTGTTTTGGAACGCCTTAATAAGGAATCAGTAAACAACTTTTCAAACAGTTCTCACAGTACTCAAAAGTTGTGAAATGTGGACACACAAGGCTGGAGCTGTTATTGTCAACATAAAAGGAAAGTTGACAAAATGAAAATTAAAAGACATCCCTCTTTTTGTCTTGTGGACAATATACTGTCAACTGAATCTTAATGCATAGATCTAAATATGAAACGGAGAGACGGTTTCACTGTCCTCTTGTATTTCTAGTTCAGGTTGGTCAATCAGTGAAAGGAATTGGTTATTTTTCCTTCATTGAACGACATCAGATCATCGATATACCTGAAGTTCAAGTTAAACTAAATCCTGTTTTGATTCAGCAGAAATTTCGAAAGCAGTGCCCACTTAACTGGACAAGACAATTTTAAAGCAAGTCTCCATTCTATATCAAGGGAAGGCAAATAGTGAGCGACATATTTACATCACATCATACATTTCCAAGAAATGATGTATTCAAACAGTGCAAATATGCAATAGGCTGCAATGAAATCAAAACATATATCTTGGACTCCATTCGGAGGGTCATTTGTCTACTTTCGTTTTGAAAAGGTATGTGTTTTGATGAACTAGCCAACACCGTGAGTAGTTTAATCTAGAGCTTATAATAAACTGTGACCCCTTTATTGAATGTTCTAAGATAGCGGACCTTTGTACTTGTGTAATCACGCGTTCCAAGAGAGCACCATTTTCAAAGAGCTCTTCCCGTCAGGTAGAATGGAGATAAACATACTTTGTTTTGAAATCTGATATATTCCCAACGTAGAGAAGATACCTCTTATTTATACATTTGAAACCTCGCGCTAAAGCATTGTATTGTATAAATGCAGAAATTCGTTGCTGTGAGGCACATGGGGAATACATCTTTAACTTTTTATGAGGTACAGTGGATAATCTCTCTATGATGTTCATTACAGTTTTAATTCGCGTTCAGACACTCATACAATGGCTAGTGTTTACTTTTTTATTCACAAAATGTATAAGAATTAGATAATTAGCAGTTTCCGCGGTTATGAAAGTTATGAAAGTGTGCATGTATATCAATTCTCGCCAACAACTGAACATCGGCAAACATTCAGCTGGTGAAAATTATGAAAATATAATGTTTGCATGATTTTAAACGGGTTTGTCTCTTGTCTTTTATATCTATGTTGAACTTGAATTGCTGCATATTGATGCATTCAGTTTTAATATGGTACCTGTTACATAGCTGCGAATGAAACCATGGATATTGATACTGGTCACAACATCTCCCGTTGTTCCGTGCCATAGGTGTCTCTCAACATCCATACCCGGGTTCTGTGTCTCCATCTGGTGCAGGAACATCACATACTGGAGATACAGTGTGCGGTTCTGGATTCTCTTGATCTGCAATAAAGAGGCGTCAAATGGCTAACATCCCAATGCCATACTTTTACCACCTACTTTTGAGTTAATTGCAAGAGCAATTTTAATGTGGAAAAACATATAACATTTCCAATTAAGCTTATTGGGGGTTTGAAACTTAAAGGCAATAGGTTCCTCATGCCACTGTCTAAAGGAACGAATCTTACAGATTTGAGTGGATGAAAGTGATGGAGGTTTCTGACGTATATACTTTAGCAAGTTACAAACAAACAAAGAATAATAATCAGCAAGAACTGGGATTCGAACCCACGATCATATGTTGTCCAGTTGTAAGACATGGTTCGCATGGGATATTAACATCAAAAAGAGAAAAGGTGCTAACAGCAATGCGTCACATGATCCCAGTTGACATAAGTTACTAAAACGTTACCTCGACAATGGTGTATTCATTGTCAACGCCTGTATTGAATTGTCTAGCCACCAACTTGTATTCTTTATCTTCAGGTTTAAGCTGTACTTCGCTCACAAACTGTTCCTCAGTCATTGGACTCCAGTGTGCGGGCAGCTGGATGAGCCCAGCCATGCCCACAGCTACAGCAGAGAAAGCAAAATCTGTATAACTCATCAGATCTAGCAACGATTAAATAACGTGTTTACTAGTAAGCACACATTGAGAAAATTCAGAGAGTTTGAATAAACTCATTATGACCCATCCTAATGAATAAAACGAATCAAGCGTATCGTAGTATCGACTCGACCCGTGTCGAGACTGACAGCTAGAGTCTACAGGAATCTATTTGACACATATTTATAATCACGGCCAATTGATCAATGACGGCGAACAAGTGTAACCGCCACAGGTTTATTAACAACTTCGGAAATCTCTCCCGTCACGTTTATCTTTTCGGCCATTTTGACGTCTTGTACTTGATGTACATGTATAACGACACGCTTTCATTCTGACTGACTTACTGGGGTAGTTCTTAGCAGACCTTTCTCCTCAAGTAGAGCAAGTAACATGCAAACGCTTATGCCACCGGCAAGCTCCGACGTTCATACAGTTTTGCCCTCACTCTATGAATGTTCATACTCCAATGAACTCACACAAAATTAAAGTCAGTTCTTAAATATCCATTGTTGTCCGGTGATTCTCTGTTAATTTATGTTTTGATACATAAAACCTGCGTGCAAGGGAAATGTTTTGTTTCATATTTTGCATTTGTGAACACAAAAATGGGACATATTTGAGGTGCAATTTTCTTTATATTTGTTGATTTTGTTTGACGTTGTACTCCGCAATATTCCAGATACATATCCTGGCAGTCTGAAGAGAATCAAGTCTAGACCAGTCAATTCAGTGGTTGACATCATGAGCAGTGATCTACGCAATTGTGATACGATAACATGCATCTAATACGTGAGGTGTCTGACCACACGATCCCGCTAGTCGCCTCTTACGACCAACATAGTCTCCTTTTACGACGAGCATTGGTTACCGAAGACCAATTATAACACGGATCACGGATCGTCACTAGGGTTGCAACGACGAGCATGGGTTAGCAAAGACCAATTATAACACGGATCACGGATCGTCACTAGGGTTGCGACGACGAGCATGGGTTACCGAAGACCAATTATAACACGGATCAAGGATCGTCACTAGGGTTGCAACGACGAGCATGGGTTACCGAAGACCAATTATAACACGGATCAAGGATCGTCACTAGGGTTGCAACGACGAGCATGGGTTACCAAAGACCAATTATAACACGGATCACGGATCGTCACTAGGGTTGCAATTATTAGTCAATAATAATAATAATAATAATAATAATAATAATAATAATAATATGCATTTGTATAGCACCATATTGTATCATAAGAAAATAGCTCTCTTGTGGTTTAAACTAGAAAAAATATGCTATTTCACTGACTGGTGTTAATGTATAAATCACTATAGATCACTGCTCAATACCTGCGGGGGCACGGGTGGCCCAGTCGTCTAAGGCGTCGCAATTCGCTGTGCAGAGTACTGTTAAAAGCGGCGTAAAACACAACTCACTCACTCACTCAATACCTGCGCCAGAACATGACAGTGCACAAACTGGTAGGGTAGCATATATTGTGGCATACATTTATTAACACTGTACCTAGTAGTAAACTTTCTTAGATGTTTTGTATGCAGTAAAATATGTCACGTAGAAGTACCTGTCTGTAACGTAAATTCGCTTGTTGTGGAATTTACTGGACGCACATCTGCAGCTGCTTCTGTAGGCGTGGCACCCTCAAAGATCTGTAGCAAATTGTAATGAATAATAAAGGCACAAATGCCGCAGTCATTTATAAAAAGCCATGGTCTTATTCTTTCAAACAGAAAATATCTAACATAACAAAGAGATAGATATTTGGGTTACTTCCTGGGGAATTTCCAAAACACAGCACAGTTTTGAAACCACAAATTGATAGACGAAAAGTAGCCATTATCATTCCTTCAAAGTATTACCTTTCTGAGTCTTGTAGTTGTGAAAAATGAGGGACTTTATTCTTAACTTTGATTTTCTTGATATTATGTGAGGTGGGGTGGGGTGGGGTTGGGTGGGTTGAGGTGAAGTGAAGTGAGGTGAGGTGAGGTGAGGTGAGGTGAGGTGAGGTGAGGTGAGGTGAGGTGAGGAGAAATGGGGTTAAATGTCGCGTTTATGATTTCTGCACACTTACATAACTGCTTGCATGCACGTGTGTGTGTGTGTGTGTGTGTGTGTGTGTGTGTGTGTGTGTGTGTGTGTGTGTGTGTGTGTGTGTGTGTGTGTGTGTGTGTGTGTGTGTGTGTGTGTGTGTGCATATATTCACATATATTCCACCGTAATCTAAATCATGTCATGCCTCAAACAACGATAGTGAGTCACATGCCTCCAAATTCGCCTTGTCTTCTGGATACACAACAATTCGTGCCTCACACAGGGAGGTGTCAGGGTTGCTTGTTTTGAATTGATCAAAGCTCTTGAAGATACATTCTGCCACTTCATCACATGGATATGCCAAGATCCCTGTCCCAATTAAAGGGAAAGCGATGCTCTTCAGTCTCGAGCTCGAGGCCTTGGTCAGACATTTTATAAAAAATGCTCTGTAATTCTGGAAAACAAAGTTCATTTACGGGTTAGAAGTGGTAACAGTAACAACAGTGTCCTAATACGTCTTAACTTACTCAGTCTCTACTTTTGTAGTTGCAACAGTACCGACAGAGCATTAGTGTGCTTTTAAGACCCAACATGTGATTATCTTTGCCAATACATACAAATACACACATACTCTCACGTATAATCTATAAAAGCGTGATGGGCAAGTTAGATATATTTATACATGTATTTCAGTTATTATCATTATGTGTTGAAATATACAACTGAATTATTGCATTTGTATGGAATACTGTAAGGGACATTCTCGAGATCTCGCATTCTCGCGATCTCGACCTATGGAACAAGCCTAATGTGCCCAAAACATGAGATCGCGAGAACGCGAGATTTGGTCAAAATCTCGCGTTCTCGCGATCTTGCATTTTCGTGTTTTTGGTACATAGCACGTCTTGTCAAAAGTCGACAACGCAAGACTGCGACATTTGGACATGAAGCAAAATCTCGCAATCTCGACTTGTAAAATAAGGCCTCAAAAACACGAAATCCCGAGAAAATCACCGAAAACCCGAGAATGCGACATTTAATTTTCTCGCGATCTCGCGTTCTCATGTTCTCGCGTTTTAGACGCTGTCCGTGCACATGCGTAATATCATAAGGTCAAGGCGCATGCGCACGTTAGTAGTCCTTTGGTCATGCTTCTTTCATGCTCTTCATTCTCCAAGTAGCATTTAGCAAAATTATGACTTGAGCTTGAAAATGGTAAGTAATTTACATACACAAAGTCTGAGTCATCTCCCGTTTTTACAGTTTCCTATGTATTTTATATTAAAACCCTCAACATTCTCAATATAATTTAACCAAAGATTTGTGTACATGAATGTCCCATGATAGTGAAAACATTAATGTGTCCGAAAGCTGGAAACAAAACTATTACTGTCAGTGAGTGAGTAATATTGCTTAAAGCCGCATCAGCAGTATTGCAGCTATTCGGGGCTACACTGTCAGTCAGAATGACCCTTACAGTATTCCATACATTTTAGAGGATATTTAGTCAGTCTTTTGTTGAAGAGAGATCACTCATGTCCGTATCACACTGACTGTCTAGGAATCTATCCTGTCACAGGCAGGTGTTTTTATTTGTTGCACATTATGTTTTCAGTCATTGCTTTAAGATTGAGAAAATACCACTTCGTTTCTGATCTAGCATGTCAAGTGGATCAAAACTCTTTTTGTAAAACCTGAAGCAACACAACATTAATGGTTAATGGTGAATTACCTCCTCTGACCAGATTCCTAGAGAAGTGTGGTATATTCTCCCGCTCGGTAGACGACCTCCTGAAGTCTCGGCTATCTCTTCCGTCGTAACACCTGTGGGATACTTGACCCTGCACTCTTCTTGTATGCTGTCTCCAGCAGCGTTATATATTGCTGAAGACAGTTGCCCACTTGCCAAATTGAGGCTCGAGGAAGTCGAATTAACAATCACATCAACCTGAAATCATGTGTTGTGAATTTGTCATTGATTTCTTATTAATCAAAGGGAAATAATCCAATGGGCAAACTAGCTCGCGGGATTAAGACGCCATACGTTAATTCCCATGTCAAATGTATGCAATATGTGCTGTAAGACTAATTATGGAACAATTGATTCTGCTACTCTTGATTTTGAATCTGGTGATTGTCACAAAAATTGTCAGGTAATTAGTAGACCGATCATCATTCTGGAGGTGTGGATCGATGGGTGCACAGGGCTTGCCAAACAAGACGTAGCATCAAAAAGACATATGGTCACTACCAGTGTCAGTACTGTATAAAGGAAAGAGCTGTTACGAGGTCAACTCACCAAATATCAAAAGGCAACAATGTCTTTGTGTGTGCAAAGTTTTAGGACAGAATGCCTATTTGTTATATTATATAAGCACACCACTGTGTACTATCAAAGTAAAGCTTGTAAAAAAATAAACATTCTTAGAACCCCTTATAGCACAAGGCACCAACCTGCCCTTTGTGTTTGTAAAATTTCATGAAAAAATGATACAGTTAAAAACATTATTTCAGACGGACGGACAGACAAGTTGATTACTGTATCCACCCATATTACTTCCGGGGAAAACCAATCAACCTATCATATGAAACTGAGTAATGTCAACTGCAACATATTACTTACATCCTGATGGACAATGTCTCCTTTGACAATAGTCACAGTGAAGGTAGATCCGAGTTCTGTACGTGAATATGGAATAAGATGAGCAAAGTACATATAAACACATTGTTACGTGGCTGTTGAGCTTGGTTTCAGTTATTTTGTCGTTATTTTGTAGTGATTTCCCGCCCCGGCAAATGATTGAAACGCCGGTAAAATCGTGATAATCTTTGTAAACAAACATGGCGGGCTTGGTCGTTCGAGAAGTTTCAGGTTGGGACCTTTTCTAGAAGGCTGGCTGTAGCTATATAAGAGTTCCAATGAGCGTGACTCGAGTTTTTTTTATCTTGTGTGGTCACTGATTTCAGAATATATTTCTGTACGAACCGATTTCAGGGGTAACCTTTGCATGTCTATTTGGAAATATATACTGAACAACAAAAGTTCCTGTGACAGTGAATAAGATTTAATGCAAAGTTATGTTTTTCACAAAATTGACACATTTTCGGTTTGAAAAAGATAAAAGACTCCTGTAAGTGTTCAAATGGTTTAATTTGCCATACTGACTTCCGAAAATGCGTGATTTCATAAAAAGCATGAACATGCCAAAATGTCAATTTACAAATTAATAGCGTGTGTGTCCACCTCTGGTTGCGATGCAAGCAACACATCTTCGCCTCATGTAATGGACCAGGCGTGTCGCACAAAGTCCTGTGGGATGTCTGTCAACATCTGCTGGAGCATGTTTTGAAGTTCCTGGAGTGTCTGTGGAACACGTGGTTGACGTCGAAGGCGCCGATCCATCTCATCATGTGCTCGATTGGTGAGAGATCAGGGAAGCGAGCCGGCCAGGGGATGACATTCACCTTGTTTTGTTGAAGAGAATCCTGAACACGTTTGAGGCCGGGCGTGGTCATGTTGAAAGGTAATGCCTGGGCCATGACGACGCAAAACCGGTAGATCAACAGGGCCATTGATCTCGTCGCGGTAGCGCTGTCCATTGAGATTTCCCTCTACCACTATCAAACGGGTCCCCTGTCTTGCTGTAATCCCACACCATACCACAACGCTGCTGCCCCCGAACTGATCTCCTTCCATGACACAGTGATTGACGTAACGTTCACCTCGAAGTCGGTACACTCTAATCCGTCCATCGCTGTGGCTGAGGTGAAAACGAGACTCGTCAGTGAATAGAACTAGTCCCCACTGCATGACCATCCAGAGTAGGCGCTGTCGGCACCACTGTAGACGTGCTTGACGTCAAAATGGGAAGTCTGGCGGGTCTTCTTGCGATACTCCCTGCACATCTGAGGCGGCGACGTACATTTTGTGAAGATATTCGTCGAAGGCCAGGGATGCTTCTTGCAGTCACTGTTGCTGGCTGGGATCGATTTCGTAGGTGTGTTGTTCGAATCCAGTTGTCTCGTCGATTATTGCTTACGCCTGGCCTGCCATTCCGAGGATGCTCTCTGACAGCATTCGTATATTGCCAACGTGGCCATAAACACCAAATGGTGTTTCTGTGGACGTTAAATTGTCTTGCAACATCACGTTGACTCGATCCTGCTTCAAGCATACCAATGGCTTCAGACGCTCATTTTCGGACAGGCGGGGCGTTTCGTAATGTTGAATAATTGCCTAATGTTGTTGTTTTTCTGAGTGGTCATGCATATGGAATCCCGTAAACGCACATGATTTTATACCCATTCTTGGGTAATGAAATGCATGGGGCTTGCATAAAATGGAATGCATGCTTTTCTGTAGCAGTTGCGTGTTTCAGACTTGATTCCATACATGTACTACAATATCAAAAACCAATCTTTACTTGTTTGGAAAATACACTAAAATATTGATGTCACAGGAACTTTTGTTGTTGAGTATATATACAACAAAGAATCAAACTTTTACTGAACTGCAAAAGAAACGTCACCATGGATAGATATATGAAAACATTATTTGTCTAAACACTGTAAACATACTTTGAGACATATTAAAGAGATGGAACTTGGCAAAACTGATCATCAAGGTTGAACTTAAAGTGTCAAATGCTCTTAAAGTGAAACACAACACTAGTCTCTGAGAAAATGGCATCACAAGTCAGTATCTCGTGTGTCCACCATGTGCATTGATGACTTCAGCGCAAGTCGATACATGGAATGGATGACGCGGTTGATGAAGGTCATAGGCACTTGAGCCCACACTCTGAGGAACGCCTGACGCAGTTCAGCTGCACTTGTCGGCCTTGGTCGGACGTCATTCAGCCGTCTTTGAATCTCGTCCCACAGGTGCTCAATGGGATTTAAATCGGGACTGAGGGCAGGCCACTGCATAGTTCTGATGCCATTCTGCTGGAGAAAGTCTCTTGTTGCTCTCGCAGTGTGTGCACGGGCGTTATCATGTTGAAACTCGTGGTTGCAGCGACGTGCCTAATGAGGTATGGCGTGTGGTCTCAAAACTTGGTCAATGTACCGAGCTACTGTGGCAACACTGCCTCTCCCTGGACCGATGTTCTGGACGACAACAGGGCCGACCCTCTGTGCAAGACAAATTCCACCCCACACCATGATGCTCGGACCACCCCACGAGCCTCTCTCAACAACACAAGCATCCGAATAATGTTCCCTACGGCGTCGCAAGACTCTCCCTCTGCCATCGGCTGTTGAGATACAGTAACGGCTCTCGTCTGAGAAGAGGACTCTTCTCCACTGCTGGTTGCGCCAATGCTGGTACTGTGTTGCCCACTGAAGATGATCCCGGCGATGACGAGGTGTCAGAATGGGTCCTCGATGTGGCCTGTGACAGTGGAGGTGTCTGCTCGTCAATCGTCGACGCACGGTGTCTGCACTAATGTGTCGCTGGTGTGTCCCCATGGTGTGTCGAGCAGTTTCCGCAGCTGTAACAAAGTGATCTTGAAAATGCTGTCGCACACTCTGACGATCCTGACGTCGGGTGGTGACCCTTGATCTTCCACCACGTGGTCGGTCATCTGTAGTGTTGGTGGTCTGGTACCATTGCTGGTACCATTGGCTACTTGCCGGGAGGATTGTCCAGCTTACAATCGCCCAACTGCTTGGTGTCACTGTTTCCTTGTCAATCTTGGCATGTGGTAGCAATTCAATAACGAATGAATGTTATCCGATCTGGGCGGATTTTTATAGGGCAAGAAATGGGGGAATGCATTTGCATCTGTCATTGTCATCTGTTTATTTTCATCAAATTTCATTTTTTCGGACAAGGTAATGTTAAATTTTAGAAACTTTGACAAAAATTACCCAGATGTTTAAATGACAACTTGTCATGCAATGTTACTTGGGGTGACGTTTCTTTTGCGGTTCAGTATAGTTTCCATGATCAATTGCCTATTTGAACTAGATAACCGTTAGCCTAGCATTTATTTTGGCATTCTGTGCGTACAGCAAGTGACACAAGCTTTGCAAGTGAGGATAAAGTTATTGTATTAATCTTAGCAACAACATTATACAAATAATTTTAGTTTGAATCAATCGATAATACAACTGCCATGGTCTTGATAGAGCAAGATCAGTGGAACTGATTGACGGACGCTGTTACTGCATGTAAGAGATATCAGATGAGTGAGTGAGTGAGTTGTGTTTAATGCCGCTTTTAACAGTATCACAGTTATTTCGCGGCGTGTCGGCGCAATGTGGGAGGAAAGCCCGAAGTCATGAAGGTCTCAGACGTTTACCACTTCGTTGAAACCCACGGGCACGGGTCTGGTGCTGACAGACCTAGAGACATAATCGAGGCGAACCGGGATTCGAACCCACAATCATAAGTTCCTGGCGTGCCCAAGGGACGCAACTCTGCACAGCGAATCGCGACGACTTAGATGACTGGGCCAACCGTGCCCCCGGTATCAAATGAAAAGTTTGCAACGGGTAAGCCGAGAAACAGTATTCAATTACCAATCACAAGCACGTTAGCAAGGTACCTGCACACCTAACAAGAACGATAAGCTACAGGGCAAAGCATCTAAGTATAAAAATCAATAAGTAAACAGTTGAATGATCAGGAGGCTGCACTTCAACTTTACCTTTGCCTTTCCCAAGTTGGGGGCGCTTGTCAATCTCAGCTGTAAATGCCTGATTATATGTAAACATAATAGCACATATGTACATTTTCAATTTGTTGCTTCCTGTTCTACATGTAAATGGATACTGAAATCATTATTATATTTTTTATCTGTTATGTAAATTTACATCTTGTTATTTAACACTCGTGGTGACATCACTTTTTAATATGCACACAAAAAGGAACATTCTAAATTATAAACTGAAATAATAAAATAGAAGTTGTTTTCGTCTTGACCAGCTGTAATATAATTTTTAATGTGCACGTCTACTCACGTACCTTGATCGTATCCACCTCGCTTTTGTCTGCACACACCACTATTTCGTCAAGGGAATCACATACGTAATTCAAGGCCGTATCTAGGATGGCTTTAGCCAACACGGCCTTTGGTAAAGAATCCATGCCATATCCAGTGGCCTGAAAGGCGATGCTTGATATCCCATCATGTTCAGCCTTGCGCAGAACACCGTCGGTCAGGCCTCGTAGTCTCTGTATATTTCAGGTGCAGGAATCAATGCGTGTCTTTATAAAGTGAATGGCAGTATGGACGTTCATACAATTGTACACTGAGTCTCAAAACACATCTTGTAAATATAGAAGCAAAATCTATTTGAGATTGTATTCGAAGCATTCCTCACAAAAACAGGCGAGCAACTATTCAGTTTTGCTTCCCGCCAATTTCCGGGTATCAAATTACAACAAAGAGTGATGCTAAATGTTTATAAATTTTCATTTTGCAATACGAAAACTTAATTTCTTTCAGAGATTCATTATGCGTTTTCTTCGCAAATGTTAATATCTACTTAAATGATTTCTTGATAAAGATATTTCTAGCATATAGAGAGTTTTATTGTATCTTCCTTGTACCTTTAATGGGAGTTATTCAAACAGCTTTGTTTGGCAATATGGTGTACCTCAAAAAGTTAATAAGCAAGTTAAAGTGTTGCGTTTGTTTATGTTTATATTTTTATGTTTTAGTAATTATACAATATCTATCTGCGGCATTGACTAAAAAGTATATGAATGTACACTTGTAATTGTTTCATGAAAGAGCCATGCGTCTTGTATCCAGGTGGGCCTTACCTGTTCCGTGAGTGGTAGGGCATGGATCAGGACATTATACACACTCTGGCAAGAAAGGTCGCCTCCATCAGTCACAAAGATACTTGATTCTCCATCCTGGATATAAGAATGCATTTAATTTGGGCACGATGTACTATTGTTGAATGTTTTATGTACTTGTAGGTCACGACAAACATCATATTTAACCATAAGAAAGTAAGGATATACTCATGTACATCTCTACACCTCCCAAGTTTGTCCGTTCTTACAGCAAGCGAATGTTTCTGAGGTATAATTCTAATCGCGAACCATCACGGGAAGTATATGAAATCAACATTATGTTGTTAGAATCTTTCTCTGGTTAATATTTACCCCTGCAGAACCATCATCTGGTCTTGCATCCGTCGTTGTAGCAATGGCATCAACCTACAAAGATTAACTTTTTAATCGTGTTTGCTGTTGGATTCAAAGCACTAGAATTTATTGTTTGGACTTGAACTACCAATTTCAAATCGACAGTTATGTTCCTCATGCCTTTTAATAACAGACTTATAAGCACTCTCGGTTTAATATCACTTTTGAGAAAACACATTGCTCATTGCAGTCCTATGCCTCGAGCTTCCTGGAAAAAGAAACAGTTCCGGTTTCATGACATCTATTAACGTTTGAACACAGTGGGGATTGCTTAAATAATGCAACTCCTAGAGATACCTACGTGCTGCTGTGTTTTGTCGCCTGTAACAAAGGAGACTGCTGCATACGCTGTAAAAAAAAACATGTGACTATTATTATCCTCATCAGTCCGAAATTAAATAAATTCTCGAGACATCGTTTTCCTTAAATGCATCGTTGACTTGAGAAAGAATGTTTCACTACTTTCTAACGCGGTTCAAAGACTATTCATATCCCCCAGTTTGTTAGTTTGTTGTTTAATGTCGCACTCAGCAATATTAGATCTAAAGGAAGGCGACCTGTAAATAATCGAGTCTACCGACTTGGGAAACGATGACATGCATCAACCAAGTCAGCGAGCCTCCCCAGCAAGATCCTGTTTGTCGCCTCTTACGACAAGCATGGGTTGCTGAAGATCTGTTCTAACTTGGATCTTCCCGGGATTTTGATTTAGTGAGTGCAAGACGCCAACCCCTGACCATAGGAGGCGTCTGGAATTTGTTCTAAAGATCATATAATCAAAATGTGATTAATATGCTGCCAGCTGACTGGTACCTTTATCCAAATCAGAAGGGTGGTGTTGTTATGAGAGTATCACTTGGAACAGTGTATTTCATCGTAAAAACCATGTTTCTTTCCATTTGTTCAAATGAAAATAAAAACGTTCATAACAAATAAAAGTCAGCAGTCGATCACTTGACTGATAAGTGGGGAAATACAAATGGTTGATGAGTTACTCTCTGAAATATATTGGAATTTGCTTGTCATGGAGCTCTATAACAAACAGTTTAGCTGGACTAATATCTGTGCAAGATGTTCAGTAAAGAAATGTTGGAAGTTCTTTGATCTATGGTCCGGAAACAAAACGTTATGGACGGGAGAACGGACGGCCATCACCCATTCCTATATTCCCCTCCCCTTTTGATACAGGAGATGATAAAGGCTCTTACAGGGTTTTTTTTATCAAATGTATCTATTAATGTTTCGCGATATATGTGGTCTTAATGTGTAAGTGCACACACGTATCGTTGAAATGTGTAAACATCCTACGTGATAAAAGCATAAACACGTGACAACATATGTGAGCTCACACAGTTTGACCCTCTCACACAGATCTCAGTAAGCTGTAACAGCAAAAACAATGCGGGCATCATCTTACCTTCGCTATTTTCTCGGACTGATTTGTTTGCTTGTTCTTGACAAATGTTCAAGACTTCTCTGGCTACTTCCTTTGAAATGGAAAGAAATACGCATGGCGTTTTGTGGAAATATGAATATAACTGAGATGTCTATATACATCAAATGATATTAGTTTAGAAGACACTTTCATCTTTGCCGATGTCATCTGCCTCCTTTTAATGGAACATGTTCCTCAAGAGATGACCTCTTACAAATTGTATATTTACTGTCAAAGGTAGGATATGATGACTATGTATATTGACGATTTCAGTAGTCTTCATTTGAAGTTTGAGAACTGTTTCCCTGCATGTCTTTTATAATGGAGAAACCCATATATTAATATATCCGTATCACTGTGTTCCAAAAAAACAGGGATCTGTTGACTGATGATTACCATTTTTAACCTCATTAGTAATTTTACACAGTTATCATCAGCAAACATGGAAGGTACTCACTTTTGATATGTCATCAGGAACTTGTTGCAGGATTCTGTCGAGCCTTTCTTCTGTGACGCTCTCCTAAACAAACCATACAACGTGAAATGTATTCATGTGCCATGATTAATGTCAATACATGTACATTTCTCATATCCTCTCAGAGGTTTTTACATTAGTTTTTATTTATTGCCATCACCAGGCAATGATAGAAGATTGTTGGTGATAGGATTACCCGTTTTTTTGTTGTTGTGGTTTAACGCCAATATTCCAGCTTTATGACGGCGGTCTATAAATAATCGAGTCTGGACCAGACAATCCAGTGATTGACATCATGAGCATCGATCCGCGGAATTGGGATCGATGACATGTATCAACCAAGTCAGCGAGCCTGACCACCCGATCCCGTTAGTCGCCTTTTACGACAAGCAAAGTCGCCTTTTACGGCAAGCATGGGTTGCTGAAGACCTATTCTACCCCGGAATCTTCACGCGTCGGATTACCCCTTCTTCGTAGCCAGATCATTGCTTAAAAAAGCATTCATGTTGGTAATGTAGAAAATACTATCCAATGCAATCTTTAATTTGAGAAGATTGACAGATTGTTGTCTCCGTGCACATTCTAGATGGAGGGAGCCAGAACGAAGCCATGTGACATTTATAACCTCTCCGCAGATACCAATGATACCTTTGGAGATAGCAAATGGATTCAATTTGATTGGTTCTTTGTCTAAAGCTTCTATAACCAAGAAACGGGGCCAATAGTCGGATCGAGTTGTCGTAGTATTTTCTTTATGTTACTTTTTTTCTACCAGGGAGTTTGGAAGCCATGCCGAAAGGAAAATAATTCTGAACCCCTTTTCCCTACCCACCATGGTGTGTCAACAATGATAGTCTTATGCTTCAGCGGATCTCCAAGCTGCAAAGATCGAGGGTTGAAAGATGAATGATGTTTTACAATTTTTGACCTCATTAGTAATTTTACACAGTTATCATCAGCAAACATGGAAGGTACTCACTTTTGATATGTCATCAGGAACTTGTTGCAGGACTCTGTCGAGCCTTTCTTCTATGATGCCCTCCTAAACAAACAATACAACGTGAAATGTATTCATGTATCATGATTAATGTGAATACATGTACATTTCTCATATCCTCTCAGTGATTTTACATCAGTTTTTATTTATTGCCATCACCAGGCAATGATAGAAGATTGTTGGCGATAGGATTATCAGTTCTTCGTAGCCAGATCATTGCTTAGATAAAAGCATTCATGTTAATAATGTAGAAAAATCTATCCAATACTATCTGTAATTTGAGAAGATTGACAGATTGTTGTCTCCGTGCACATTCTAGATGGAGAGAGCCAGAACGAAGCCATTTGACATTTATAACCTCTCCGCAGATACCAATGATACCTTTGGAGATAGCAAATGGATTCAATTTGATTATTTCTTTGTCTAAAGCTTCTATAACCAAGAAACGGGGCCAATAGTCGGATCGAGTAGTCGTAGTATTTTCTATATGTTACGTTTTTCTACCAGGGAGTTTGGAAGCCGAGTCGAAAGGAAAATAATTCTGCACCCTTTTGCACTACCCACCATGGTGTGTCAACAAGGACAGTCTTATGCTTCAGCGGATCTCCAAGCTGCAAAGATCGAGGGTTGAAAGATGAATGATGTTTTACCATTTTTGACCTCATTAGTAATTTTACACAGTTATCATCAGCAAACATCGAAGGTACTCACTTTTGATATGTCATCAGGAACTTGTTGCAGGATTCTGTCGAGCCTTTCTTCTGTGACGCTCTCCTAAACAAACCATACAACGTGAAATGTATTCATGTACCATGATTAATGTCAATACATGTACATTTCTCATATCCTCTCAGAGATTTTTACATTAGTTTTTATTTATTGCCATCACCAGGCAACATAGAAGATTGTTGGTGATAGGATTACCCGTTTTTTTTATTTTTGTTGTTGTTTAACGCCAATATTCCAGCTTTATGACGGCGGTCTGTAAATAATCGAGTCTGGACCAGACAATCAAGTGATTGACATCATGAGCATCGATCCGCGGAATTGGGATCGATGACATGTATCAACCAAGTCAGCGAGCCTGACCACCCGATCCCGTTAGTCGCCTTTTACGACAAGCAAAGTCGCCTTTTACGGCAAGCATGGGTTGCTGAAGACCTATTCTACCCCGGAATCTTCATGGGTCGGATTACCCCTTCTTCGTAGCCAGATCATTGCTTAAAAAAGCATTCATGTTAGTAATGTAGAAAATACTATCCAATGCAATCTTTAATTTGAGAAGATTGACAGATTGTTGTCTTCGTGCACATTCTAGATGGAGAGAGCCAGAACGAAGCCATGTGACATTTATAACCTCTCCGCAGATACCAATGATACCTTTGGAGACAGCAAATGGATTCAATTTGATTGGTTCTTTGTCTAAAGTTTCTATAACCAAGAAACGGGGCCAATAGTCGGATCGAGTAGTCGTAGTATTTTCAATATGTTCTTTTTTTGTCTACCAGGGAGTTTGACACGGAAAGATAGAAGTATCTACCAAATTAAAAGTCAGGCTGGTTCGGCCCATGACAATCAATTGGAAACGTACAGAATTCGGAGGTCAGCATCACCAGATTGGCCCGTGATCCTCCGCCTTCATCGCCTTCATCGGAATAGGGCTCTAAGCAAGTTTTATAAATTGATACATCTGTAGAGAATACTACACTCATTCTCGTAAGATACCATTTTTACGAAACGAGTGGACTTTTCGCTCGGTCAGATACCATAGAAAGTTCACGAGTTTCGTAAAAATGGTATCAAACGAGATGTAGTATTTTATTTATTACCAATGTCAAAATATGTATTTAAGTGTAAATACATAAAAAAAAATCTTTCGTTGACAGACCAAACTGGAATCGGTTGCAAATCTGGTTGCGCATGAATATTGATATACGTCCAAATATGGGCATTGTTGACATTTCTATGCATACGCATTAACACCATGTTCCTGCTGTTGTGTGTGCAAGCATGACAGCTTTAACGCTCAAGATCTTATTTTTAGAATTGATTCAACTTATGGTAGTATAAGCGCATTGGTGTTACAACGCACGACACCTAAAAGAAAATCTAAAAAGTCATTTAGCGCCGCGCTTTGAATATCGGACAAACAGTCGTTGACTCGCACCGCGTGAGTTCCCGGCTGTTCAATCAAAATTTGTGGTTTCTTTGATCTATCAGCTGAATTAATATATTGTCCGTACCATTTTGGAAGAGGGAAATCAGGGAACTGTACGACCCGATAATGAAAACGCTTAAATCAACAAACCAAAATCTGCTTGCATGTCACCGACAGCATCGGACGAAGGGCATGGTCACCATCGGTATAAGAAAAGACAACCATGATCTATTCACAGTGTTTTACGCCAGGGAATGTTATTGTTCGTATGTGGGATGTTCTGGGCCACAAAATCAGAAGTCATTTGTATCGGAACTGTTCATGAACAAACACCTCACGAAACAATGTCACAAAATATGCTTCGTAGGACTTACTGATGGCCCAACCAGAGCATCACACGTAAGTCTAGATATATATCCAGATAGTTAAAACTGACTTCATTTCACCACCTTATCCTTTTATGTTAAATCAAATTGAAAGTCGAGAAAGTGGTTGGGTGCGTCACGCTCATAGAGTCCTTCGATCTATCGATCGGTAGTAGAACATATGAAATGGATATAGCTCGATCATATCATGTCAGTAGTAGCTCTGTGTATAACTAATACAGAATGCAAAGCGAAGTTGCTGCATGTGACGATCTTGTTTGGTAAGTAAAGTGTGTGTAAATGTCTCTCGCTTTCATGAGATTGCTTCAGTTCTGCATTGACGTTGCAAATAGAATGACGTCTCGCGATTTTTTATGAATGAAAAAAGTAGTTCCGGTGTGACAGAGGTCACGGTTATCTATTCAAAACGAATAAAACAAGGTCAACTTTGTATGACACACGTGTGACGTACGGACTTAGTATCTCAACCACCTGCATCTTCACCACGTGGGTAATAAATTATACTCATTTTGAATACATTTATTTTTTAATAGCAAATGTGGGTGCGAAAAAGTGTATACACGGGGCACAGATAGAATCGGGCCCATTCTACCGCCCGTCTAGGCAAAGTTAGGGTCCAAGTGGCATGTTGGACTAAGGAGCACTATTGCTGGCTCCGTCGCCCTCAACCACTAGACTCCCTTCCTCTGCCGACACAGGATCGCAGCCCATGGCAAGCAGGCTGCCCAATTCGGTAGCCTTTTATGACCAGCAATTGGGTGCCAAGGAAACATTCTTTTCCTCCCCAGGTTCCAATGAGGGTCTCAATGTAACACTGAGGCATTGTGTCTTAGTGGGCTAGCACTGTACAACCAATACCAAGTAAGCACACGTGCATGAAAGTCGCGATATAAGTGAAATAATCTTGAACGCGACGATAAATCCCATTTCACATCACCTTGAGTCTTTGTAGCAGTTATTGATAAAGGTGTTTAATATATATTTTCACTGCTTTGAAAATGTTCTTTTCCCTCACAAAGTATTTCTACTAATGACCTTAAATAAACATGATCGTCCGGTTACAGTTAGCCAACACCATTGTAATCATATTTGCAAAGTAATGTTATCATTCTGTTTCAGAATGTCATATATGTAAGCAGTAAGGGGGAAATAAAATCAAAATAGTAAGCATCCCATCCTTAACTATCTGCAAGGCAAGAAAAAAGACACAACACAACCATTTCAATAATCATAAGAAATCTATTCTAAAAGAGTCCATTGTACTATATCATAGGTGTCTTTTATTCACAATTTATTGGTGATGACAACATGTGTTCGCCAAAAGGTTAAGCATTTGCTGTCCCACTGGTGGGACTCATCACAAACAAAGTGCAAAGTCAGTAGAAGATATTTAAGAAGTCCATGCACCGCTCTAAGCACATTTTAAAATTGACAAATGTGGTTTCATCAGCAGCCTTGATGATTTATTTTAAAAAGCATCCCACACAAATTTGGCTGTGCTAATATCTTTAGCACCCAGACATATTGAACAATATATTGAAAATGACAACGCCGTCAGGACTGAAAGAAAGGGAAGCAGGTGAAAGGATTTGACAAAAACCATAGATGTTCACCCTTCTCAGTTTTAACTTGGCCCTTCAAGGAAACCAGGTGTTCAAGGAGAGCAAATGTCATAATGTCCTTTCCTAACCATATATAAAAGGAACGGGCTCACACACTTCTTCAACATAGATCGGGAGCTCAGAGAACACCTCAGTTAAAATTCAAAGTCGGTGATCACGGACGCATACCAATCACAAAAGATATAATTGACAAAACAACAAAAGAGGTCAGGTGAAGTAATACTATATGTTACTGTCATGGCCATATTCCTGTTTATAAACTGAAAGACTGGAATGATGACGAAGACGGTTCCTCTACTAAAATCCATTCAACACGGTACTAACAATAAACAGTGGGGTTTTATCAACATGGAGTCAGTGTCCCTCGAATCCTAGGTCAATCTGTTTTAGGGAAACAACACTAGGAACCTCTACAATCTCATTTAAATACATGTTTATATGAAATGTCCTGCTTATAACTTTTTGGAAGTTAAATCAGCAGTTAAAGTTCAGTTTATGAAGACTGCAAATGATATTATTTAATCTTACTTCAGCCAATACCAAATCATGGAAGTGATTCATTATTCATGTTTTATCATTTAACTAAAGTATTTATCCATGACATAAGCTTATAACATAAAAACATGTATGTCATACCCCAATGACATAAGTGTGCAAATTAGATAAACGGAAGTAGGACTTTTTTCGCCGGTGCAGGTGGGCAGGTGTTTACAAACAACATGGATACCTTTGATGTTGGAAACAATGTTTTTATTGATCACAGCGGGTGTGCAATAGTGATTTCCGTGTTGACAAATGAATATTCCAGGTTACAGGTTGATGGTACTGAATTTGAATTTGACTGTGATCAAGGCAGATTATCAAAAATACCCTGTGACAAACGTTTCGTCATTTGAACACCAACATCGAGCTAGGCGAAGCAGACAACGAACACAAAGCCTAAAGATGCTCAAGGTGGATTTGTGGCTGTTGAGGACGGCATGATCGATGGCGTTATCAAGGACAATCAAAACAAAAACACATCCGGTGCACGTGAGCAGGTGTTTACAAACAACATGGATACCTTTCATGTTGGAGATAATGTATTACTTGGACAGCATTATGATCACCATCAGATAATCTCCAACTAGCTATGTTAATTCCTTATAAACCTCCGTCTATACTCGATAATTTACAGACCACCTCCATATAGCTTGAATATTGCTGAGTGCCGCCGGGTCGTAAAACTAGTATAGTCACGGTCTAGTGACTGTACCACTCCCCCGCTCCATTTCCGACACCGCTCGGCAAAGTTCGGCCGCCGTCGTTGTACAGTGTCATTGCATTCTAAGTGAGAGAATTTGTGACCCGACTATTTCATACTCTTGTGTTTTAATGACACACTCTTACCATATATTGAATTTCTAAAAAGTATATTTGATTAAATTCAGTATATGCTGTTACATATTTTCTCATAAAGTACTATGACGCATAATGTTGTTTTTATTATGTGTAAGTTACATACAGCAGATAGCAAATTATACTTGGCAAGTCAGGATACAAGTGTATCATGTCAACAGGTGGTGAAACTAGCAGGCTACGTCTGCTCTGCTTATTTGGGTCATCATT